TCATCCTGCAACAGTTCTCAACACAGTTCTTCAGAAGGGAATCAACTCCTACAGCTTGAACAAGCTCTTCCACTGAATCTAACCTTCCAACCAGACTTTTTGCCTAGGCTGTGACAAGCTACTTCCCAAACTGCACCAACTTCTTTGAATCCAACAAGCCCTGTGAGATGGGTCCTCATCTTAAGGCCACAAGGGGCTTTGTAGTTTCCTAGAGTAGTAACCTCACAGGCCCCTTTAGCCTGCACAGGGCCCAGTGCCCACAACCAACTCTTCCTTTGGATATCATCTGCCAGTAGTTTTCATGTTTTCTCTAGCAGGCCACACCATCCCAGGAGGTTTCCAGCAGAAACGTGCTTGGAAATCTTTTACTAGGATCTGATATTCCCTACCAGGTTCTTCTGAAGCATAAAGTCTGAATCTGTCACTGCACAACAGAGTTTTCTGAGCAGGAGGTTCAGGAGTTTATTCCCTCGACATGAAATTAGACATGAGGTGTGACCATGGGAGGCAGTAAACTGCGGAAAGAAACTTTCCCTTCCTGTGATCTGTGGCATCCAAAAACCAAACAAGTGTGTCTGCAGTGGCAGAAACCAAGTATCCAGCCCTTGGATACTGACCTGCACATAAGCTCCTGTTCTAATAAGTGGTAAGTCTTAAAAGTATGGTCATTTGGAGAGATTTATTAGGTAGTTCCAGTTAGGTGCAGGGGTGAATTTTATTTTTATTCACTCATATACATGAGAGGACTCCATGATCCTAAAGGTCTTTTCCAACTTAAATGGTTCTATGATCCTGAGATGTTCTGCCATAGTTCGGATAGGTATAGGAAGAGAGATGTACTTCTTCCATGTTGTCAGCAAGAGAGATGGGTACCAAATGCTGTTCTTCACAAATGCAATCCAGAGAAGGGACTATATGTGAACAGCAGGTTTTCATCCAGTAGGGGTGTCCAAGGAGTTAGGAGACGAGACCATGCAGGCTTTGACACAAGATCAGCCTATTCCTGAGTGCAGTGACCCGTGGAGCATTTGTTCTCTGTGCCCCACATCTCTAAGGTAAAACATGTTCTCTAAGGAAAGGACAGCACCCTGGGGTTGGGATCCTTCCCACCCAAAGCTGTGTGTGTAAAGCGGAGGTGCTTCTGTCAGTGGTGGGTCCATCAGCACAAACCTGATCTCCAAGAGCAGTATTGACTCGACCACTCCAGGCATTTGAAAACATGCTGGGTGGAGACATCTACCCTTTGCAGTAGCCCTGATTTGGTCAGATGGGCCAAGACCCACTATCCTCTTCTGAAAGATGTGGAAAAAATTGTTATATTTCTGGTGTGAAGCAGAACACACTGTCTGCAATAAAGACTGCTTGTTCACTCGCTGATTATCTTCACTTTGCCTTTGAAGAAGTGTAATCCCCAAAATACCCACTGAACCTGCTAGCCCAGGGTGCTGGAAAAGCTTCCTTATAGGAAACATAGTCACAACATGAAAGAAACAACTTCACATTCCTCTGCAAATACAAACCCAGGCCAGGCTCTGGTCAGATAAACCATGTCCTGGTGTCCTGGGCTCCTGGTATGAAACTGCTAGGGACAGGAATGCTTCTCAAGAAGTGGAAGAAAAACCATTCCAGCCACATGTGCTGGAAAGAAGGAGCCGAGGGGTTTTCGTATCTGTTAAGAGCTGCCTTGCACGACGCATAGCTGCACACAACCCCTTCTCCCTAACCCCTCCTGCCCCGCTGCTCCCCAGTACACCCGCAGAGCTCAGGGCTGCGTCCACCAAATGACAGATCAAATCCTCACCTCCCCTTCACCCTTCAAAATCACCAGCCGACTGTGCAAAATTCCTGCACATCCATCTCCCTTTTTCAGATCACCAGCAGATTTTCTGTCTGCCACCAGGCTTTCTGGCCAGCTCAGCATTTTGGGAAAGAACCGAAACCTCAGAGGAGAGAAAGGGAAATGTCAGGACATGGCCAGTTTTCCACTGGCTAGGAAGAGCCCTCTTCACCTTGCAAATGGGGAGATCAAGGCTGTTTTTGCCACGGTGGGTGTTGTGGGTGGGAAGGGCAGCATCCAACCATTCAGAGTTGCAAGTGCCTGTGTCTCACATGCCTGGTAGCTGAAGTATCTGCAAGATCTAAGGGAGGATCTGGTATTTACATGTCTGCCATGCGTGCCTCTGTGTGGGAGTAGGGTTTGTATATATTATAAGGAGAAGCTGCCGATGGAAACAACCCAGTTTGGTTTCTAGGGCCTGGTTCAAAGCCCATTCAAATCAGCAGGAGTCATTCCACTTACTGTGATAGGTTTTGGCCTCATCTCTCCTTGGCCCTGCCCAACATACCTATGACCTCAGGGACTGCTCCTTGCTGCATATCCTCAATTAAACCCTGTTCCCCAGAGAGGCTGTTTGCAGGGAATCTGTGGACATGCTCCCTCCTCTGGTGTCACACCCTGCAGATACTCAGAGGCAAGTGTTGCTTGTTCATCAGTCCTTGCTCAAGATAAAGAGATCCCATTGTTTGATTTGGTTTTGTAAATTGGTGCCACCAGGGTTTTTTTCTATCTTTTGTGTTGCTTTTATCTGAACACATTTCAGCATCATCTCCTTCCTCAGGAGCCAGATTTCAGATCAGAAGGCCTCACCTTCCTCCATACTCAAGTCTATCACATTTCTACCTGAGCTGCCTTTAACCTGCCTGCAACTAAAGCATTTCTGAAAGGGCTTCATGCTGGATTTCAGACATCAAAAACTGGTCACTCCTTTGCTCTAATGGTTGCAGTCTGTGCACATCGATGGTGTGGGTTTTTTCCTTTAGTTTTGCTACACTCCCATGTATAAAAGAGCCTTTTAAGATTTTATCATTTCTATACAAGTGTGTTTATAGACTGTAAACAAGTCACACCTCTGTCTTCAGTAAAATCACAGGCTTTTTATTTCATGTTTTCCGTTTGTAACAGCATTTAAAAACGTGGATACTGGAACAGGACCAAGCACTAGTGTATCCATCACAAAGACGCAGGGTTGTTTCCACTTGTCATTCCATCATTTATGCAGCCACAGATTGCAACAGCTTTGTTTGCCACAACATTGAGTTAGAGGTCAAAACTGAGCTGGTTATCCTCTCTGCACCACAAACCCTTGCCACAAATATTGCTGTCTGCTCTCCTCTTTGTCCTCTCCTAAACACCCCACCAGCACCACAGCTCCCTGAATGTGTCTCACCCAAGTCTTGAACAGGCTGAACAGTCCCACTCAGCTTTTCCATCCCGATAACATCACAGGTCAGAGTGGAAGGAACAGAAAGCAAAGGGTTGAGCCATCGAAGCGGATCAAGATCTGCTGTGGGGGTGCCATGGACAGTAATGTAATGTTCTGCATGAATGTACATGAGATATGTTCAGGGATAATGTACTTACATAGATAGAGAATTTTTTTAATTCCAGGATTTTATCAGATCTGGAAAAACGCTGAATGTGTGGGTCCCTGCACTATCAGTCTACAGCTACACCAAGAAGAGGAAGCTGTATTCCTTTTCTAACATCCATGCTGAAGTTGTACAGCCTCTGCAAATAATTAACTGAGTCTAACCAGACTCTTTTCCCCACATTAAATCTGCATAATCAGTTCAATCACCACCCCAAAAATTAATTTTTGCTCTTGGACCCACTCCCCTTTATTATAATAGATAATGGGAAATTCTATCCCAAATAATTTTTGTGGGAATACTAGGAAGAAAGGAGTTTCAGCCTGTTTGGGAAGAAGAGAAAGTCTGGGGGAGACAGAAATTACAAAAACACTCAGTCCCAATGCTGCAAGTTAGAAGCTGATCACATATATATTCATGCATACAAATATATACGTAGTCATCTCACTGCTGCCACACATTATGGTATGGTTCCAGCAGCCAAGGCTTTCTGTAGTGCTTTTGGCCACAGCATTGAACTGGGGCATAAAATTGCATTGCTTACTCCTTGTAACTCCATGCCTAAAGCACTGGACTCTTGCACTGTGAACCAAGGCTATTAAGGACAGACACAACCATGAACTTTGCTTAATAGTCCTGTAGTCTGCTCCAAAAGAGGATCACTCATCTGGGATCAGATGTATAGGGAAACACTGAAGTTTGCTTACACTCTTCCTTCACTCTACACCCCAGCATCTCCTAGAGCTCCCACTGCTGTATCTTTTAGCCCACAGCCCATAATCCCTCTTGGGTAAGGCCATGCTGCCTGACAGGCTGGACTTTTTTGGAGCCTTTGTGTGAGACCAGCCTGAGGGATTAGGTTGGCAGGTGTGGCTGGAGCAGAATAGCCAGGTGGTGGTGACAGAAGAGAGGAGGCTGTGCCAGCTATGGGTGTAGTTTAGCCAACAGAAGTGGAAGTGGTATTGAGCTAAAATTTGCCATTGATTGGACTCACAGCGGTCTGTCATCACATAAAACTACCTATTTTATGAAACTAAATATTCCTGAGGTAAGCATTTATTCCAGACAATCATGGAACTTAAAATTGAATGGGAGAGTGTCTGGTAAGGCAAGAACAACCATGAGGAGAAAACTCTCGCTAGGAGCAGTTTGCTTGTAGCAAAGGGTCACTGACTCATGTCTGAAGCAAAGATTCTTTCAGGGCTGTCTAGAGCCACAAACAGCCCTCTGTGCTGAGGGACTCCTCCTATCATGGACAAACAGGGTACAAGGGAAGGAAAAAGTGGAAGTCACCTCTCTAACCAGAGTGAACCTCTCAGGAACTCACCTCCAGTCCTTTTCAGAGCCTGGAAAAGTGGCTTTGAAAGTTGCCACTTATCCTGAGATAGTGGCTGTAAACTCTAGGGCTATCTTGAGAGTTCCCATTGCCTGTGCAGTGTTTGAGCACCTCATGCAGTCTCCCACAGTACCAAGGTAGACAAAGCACTGAGAGAATGCAACACAAAACCAACCACAATTGAACCTATGAAGAAGCTTTATATTAGATTAAATCAATGAGGGAACAGAAGAAGTGCAAGTACTGCCTTTATTCTTTGCAAATATGAAAGCAGAGCTAATCTGAAAACAAACTCACTACACAGAGAAGCTACAGCGAACAGGACTCAGATAGAAACCACTGATGGAGTTTGTCATGGGTTTTGCTCAACCCAGCACTAGCAAGAGTCAGAAAAGCACCTTCTCCAGGATGAATCCTGATAGGAGAGGGAGGAAGACGGTGTGTTGAGGGGCAAGAGCAAAAATCACTCTGTCCATAGAAAAAGCTGGTCTGCATTGGAACCGCTTCAGCTTTATGTCCATCATCCCCAGGCTGTTTTTTCCATCTCCTGCCATATTGCATTCAGAAATGGTGGTACAACCCTTCATGGCAGCTTTCACAGTCTGTCCGGCTACACAGGAGGAGAAGTACATGCCATGTGTCAGTGGACCCAGTCCCCATAGTCATTCCCTCCCTGGCCACTGCAGTCCCATTTCCAACCCAAGAACTGCCCATTCCTTACAACCAGTTGGCTCTAAACCCACCAACCCATTCCTGTCTGTTCCCATCCTCTGAACAAATTTGAAGAAACAGCAAGGTCACCTTGGTTGACTTGAAATACAAAGGGTTTAGGGTTTGTCTTCTTTCTTTCTGCTGAATAAAGATGATTTTTAAAACTTCTAGTAATTTAAATTTAAAAATTAAAAAGGTCTTAAATAGTTATCTTTCTTACGTTTAAAGATTCTTCTGGTCAAAGTTTGTCTGGCTTCCTAAAGAAACCAGGGCTGTGTGACACTACTCCAGGAATTCATTGCCTTCTTCTCTCTCGGAACCTCTCATGGCATTCAAACTGGATGACAATGTCTCAGCCATATTTGACATGGGGTTGAGAAGTCTCAAAGACAATACAGCCTGAGCCATTTATTAAGATTAATCCATCCTTGAAGGCTTTACAGGATTTTAGCCAAACCAAGAGAGAAACATGGTGACATGCCCACTGAAACCTGAACCTGTCCTTTACCACCACTGGAGCACCTACCTGAGAAGGAGACCTGAGCAGGTGCTGGGTGCCTAACTCTCCAAACAGACATTTTTGTTCCTGTTGCTTGCTTTTGCTAACACTGCTCACATTTCTCTGCTGTGCAGGTTATGGAGTGCTGGAATACTCTGTTGGGCATTTTTGTCTTAGATACAAATAACTTGTAAAGGCACCTCACTAGTCCCTCACCTTCCTGTGCTCCCCTACACCTCTTCTTCCTCTGCATAGCTAATCACACCACACAGGTCTTCTCTATCTACAGTGACTGATCAATCAAGTTAAGACAAATTAGGAGCATTTTTATTTCAGTGATACACTGAAATAATTCCACCACTCTATTTTCATTGCTGTGACTAGGAAATGTCTTGTTTTCCTTCATGTTGTTTCTGTGAAACATGATCTAATTCAGGGTTTGGACAACACATTTTCAAAAGTCTATAGCAAAGACCTTCAGGCATCACATCATTTCCTAGCAATATTATCAACTCAGAGGAATTTCATCTATAACCATACACAAGATAATTTTTTTCAGTCTGTTTCTACAGCAGGTGTTGCTGCCTTTAACTTCCATCTTAGTTTTCCTGTCCACTGGAGCACAGGTGGCATTGCCACAAAAGGTGGAAGTCCTTTACCTGCAGCGTGGGAGGAAAGGAGAGTGACCAGGAAACATGCTGTCAATTTTCCTTTCTCTAATTACACGTGTAATTACAGGTGGAAAAAAGATTTCTGAAGGAGCCATTATAAGACTGGAGCTCCTTCTCAAGGAAGATCTTTGGGTACCCCAAAGGCTCAGCTGCAGTGTTTATGTCCCTGGCTCTGTACACACAGAAGCACCACTACAACAGTGTCTTGTCTCCAGCATCACCTCATGGAAAAGCCAATAGCTCTGTGTAGTTCCACCTAAACCTCCACTGAGCTGGCAACTAGCTTAGATCCAGATTCACCCTCATACATCTTAGCTAGGGCCAGCAGGTCCAGAGCCTTGGTCAGATTTGTTACATGCCCATGTATCAGATTGCCTCAGGAACCCAGTTCTCCTCGTGACCTCAGTTATGCTCTGCTATGAGGAACTCCAACAATTATTCATGCATAATGGGGAAGAAAGAAGGAAAAAAACACCCCTGCCCTTTGATCAGCTTTAAACTTTCAGTTTTCACCTTTCAGTTCCTTGCTTCTTCCTCTTTTTTTTTTCCCCCACACTTTTTACCTGTTTTTATTTCTCAGTGATGCTTCCTCTTAGACTAGTTTCACCCATTTTACCAAAAAGATGAAAGACAGCCCAAATAAAAGGCAGTTACCAGCATTCATTAACCCAGCAAAGTCAACACATTGGGTTTCAGATCCGGTGCAGTTTACAATTTCTTGACTGCACTGGAAGGAGTCCACGCTGTAGCAGGCAGGACACTGGTACCCATTGGGCACGTTGTCATCTGGTGGCACTGGAATGAAAGAGATGGGCTGTAACTGGTATTAATGAGGGTATGAGAGGGACGACCAAGGTCATGGTTTAGCCTGGAAGGCCGCACCTTGGGATGGGCCAGAGAGGGGATGGGCTATAAGGATAAAAAAGGAGCTTACATGAAACAGAGGTGGTTTGACAGTCATCACCCGTGCAGCAAGCTATGTGGCCCTTTGCTTTTACCTTCCCATAGTTCATGGTGACAGGACCATGGTTGCACATGTTGGATGGCATGCAGGATTTGATGGATGAAGGGATTGCCATCCCCCCTGTAACAAAGCAGAAGGCAGTGCCAAGTTGTTAAACACAAGGTAACTCCCTTCCCACTCCAATAGCTCCTGCACCAATTCCTAAGTAGCTGCATATTTCCTTCCTCTTGTACAAAGTCACCCTTCATCCTTGAAGCACCTCAAGGCTCAATTTAACTGTTCTGCTCCCCGTTACACCTTTTGAGGTTGGCTGATGGTGTAGACCAGACTTGCCCATGTCAGGATGCTTGTGGCTGTGATGGACCATGTGCTCAGCAGAATGTGCATAAAGAAGCATGAGCTTCTTAGAGGCATGTGGGTTACAGGATAGTCCGGGATGGGAAAAGCTCTCTATTCCTCTATCTTGAGAAGCAGTTTCTTACTGGGAGGTTTTGGTTCTTAGTTGCGGAGAGGAGAACCATGAGCTACACTAGACTCACTTCTCCTGTGAGGACAAGCTCAGACAATTGAAGTTGTTCAGCCTGGAGAAATCTCCTGGGTGACCTTATAGCAACATTCCAGTACCTAAAGGGGCTAAAAGAGAGCTGGAGAGGGACTTTTGACAAGTGCATGGAATGACAGGACAAGAGGGAATGGCTTTAGACTGAAAGAGGGTAAATTTAGATTAGACATTAAGAAGAAATTCTTTGCTGTGAGGGTCATTAGGCACTGTACAGGTTGCAGAGAAGCTGTGGATGGCCCATCCCGGAAGTGTTCAAGGCCAGGCTGGACGGGGGCTCTGAGCAACCTGTTCTAGTGAAAGGTGCCCCTGGCCAGGGCAGGGCATTGGAACAAGATGATCTTTAAGGTCTCTTCCAACCCAAACTATTCTGTGATGTCGATTACAATGATACAGTGATAGCTCAGCCCCGGTGGTACTGCCTGGTTGCCTGGTGTTCCCTTCCCTGCTCAAGGAAGGGGGTTAGATGCAGGCCACCTTCTCTCTCCACATGTCACCACTGCACCCTCAGAGCTAGATGTCAGTAGCCTAGTGTAGCTCATGGTTCTCCCCTCCACAACTAAGAACTAAAACCTCCCAGTAAGAAACTGCTTCTCAAGATAGAGGAATAGAGAGCTTTTCCCATCCTGGACTATCCTGATTTCTGGCTCCTCTGCCAGAAAAAGAAAAATGAACAGTTTAACCAAGGGTGGATCATAATACCAGTGACAGAAGTGGGGAGAGAGACACCTGCCCCAGCCCCACTCTGAAAGCTACAATGGCACACAGATATAGCGGATGTCTTACCTACCTATTAGGACCTCGTGCAGAATGATGCCACAGGTATCTTCACCACCAGTGCAGGTTTTCATGGGGCCAGAGCAGCCTCTTCCTATGCTGTGGCAAACCTCACACTGAAGACATGTCCCTGGGGAAAGAAGGAGGACATATTCCTGAGTAAGAATAATAAGGGATATCACTTCCCCTTTCATTACCATTTGACTTCAGTGTTTGATCACAACTTTTCACATTCCTCTTCTCTTATTTTTCCTGTTTCATTGTGCAATTTGTGGTGGGGTTTTCCTGGAGATGCTGCTGAAAGCAATCCTACAAACTCCTTAGTCCTGGAAGGCGTTCAACTGTCCCTTGATACACAACTCCCAAATGCTCTCTTTGCAGTAAGCAGGGGTACCCGAGTGGCTGGAGAACAAGAACTATCAGTGGGTATTGACTGTGCTCTGTAAAAATTGGAGAATCCCTTTGTAGACATTATCTCTTTGTAAGCATTATCTCTTTGTGTATCTCTCTGTAGGCATTAGGGGAAATCACTTTACCAACTACCTGCTGGAACACCTTAAGCAGACCAGAATATCAGACTGTCAGCAGGAAACACTTAGAAAGGAATAAAGTGCTTATCAACAGAGGACAAATACGATGTCTTCCATGGCACACACCTGCAAGGGTCCAGAGCATAGATTAATAGGTCCCAAGCATGTATTAGCTCCCAAAACCCAGGTGCCAACTGAGGCACCTTGCAGTGGCTGTGACGTCTTCACGGAGTGTCAGGTATGACCCAAGACCTCCAAGACATGTGTGCTTCTCTGTAGCAGAGCTGAAGGACAGCTGAGATGATATATAACGTCTAAAAAGTCACACGACCCCGGACACGAGCAAAATAAATGGGCCCCTAAGCTTGTGATAAACAGTGTCCAGAGATCCACTCAGCTGACCAAAGGTCTGTCTGCCTCAGAGTAACCTGGGTCACTCCAACAGCTTTCCTGGCCAGACCAGCAGTGTCATATTATTAATGCCGACACCCTCATCTGCACTTTGGCCTACAGCACCAAAGATCCCCTGAGACTGGTCACCCCTCTGCAGCACAAATCCCCCCAGATGAGGTGTTTCTATGGCTCAGATGGCAGGAACGGCCTCTCACATGAAGCACCCATTCCCAGAACTCTTCTGTGTCCCACAGCTCAGCAGGTCCTAGCAAAAAACTCACCCGGGTCCAGGAAAGCCAGGAGGAAGCTGAGTCCAAGGGATACTTTCATGTTGATGGGATGTAAGCACAAGGAGCTGCCAAATCTTCGTGAACACAGCATCGTGTGCCACAAGGGCTTTATAAACTGGAGGAAAAGGGTGTGTTTTTAAGGAAGTGGAGATTGGGGAAGTGTTCTGAAGAATATAGATATTTCTGAGCACTAACACCAGCATTTGTTTCTTTTTCTTTTAAAGCACAAGTTTTGCCTTCTTCTCCAGATGAATAATGCTGTTTGCCTTTCTCCTGTTTAGAGTATGCAGCCTATGAAGAAAGACTGCCTTCCTTGATGATATCAGGTGCAGTCTCTGGTGCAGATTTTGAACACCATTTAGCCTCTGCCATTCATATGAATAATGGAGAAGAAATCACTTGGACAGCCCTGTTAGGCCCAAAGAGGCTGATATGGTTTGAAACTGGCTCCCTGCCAAGTCTCCAAACCTTACCACAAGAAGTCCACCCCCCCCCCCAAACCTCAGGGAGAAGAGGGAAAAAAACAACTGAGAAAACCGAAACGAGAGAGAGACAGCTAAAGCAATATATATAAATACATTTACACTTATATTATAGTTATATACAATTGAAATATATATATACAATTTCACAAGGAAAAGGGAAAGGGAAGGGGGAAGGGAAAAAAGGAACAAAACAAAATAAAATATATATATATATATATCCATATATATATATCCTGATCAATAGCCCAAGATCTAGCAACTAAAAGAATTAGCAAAGAATATCTTACTACTCTCCTTGGGACAACAGAGAGTCACCGCTGGAGCGACTGCCGGCAACCTCCACCTCCCAAGGTCGACAAGGCCTTACCAGGCCTCACTCTCCAACTCGACAGACTCAACAGCAGGGAAACCCACACCTCAAAGCCGACGGAAGGAAAGAGAGGGCGAAGGCCTCTCCTCCTTTCTTCTTATACCCTGGCTTACGTAAAAATCGTAGGGAACACTGGGTAAATCTGGGCCCTTCCTTGGTTACAAACTGGTCTCCAAGGAAGGCCTAGATTAAACTGCCACAGAGCCAAAGTATAGCAAGGACTAGTCAGAAATGCTCCTTGTGGCTGGGTTTTTGCTGGCTGGTTTCCCATCTCCTCATTCCCATCAGTCAGGAGCTCTCATGCCCTGATTACAGAGGCAAAGCAGGTAGGGTCAAAGCAGTGAGCTTCCTCTCTGAGGCAGTGTACAGCTTCAGTTTGCAAACTGACTGCCCATGCACACCTTGGAGCAGGCTCAAGGAAGGGTTTCTGGAGTTGAAAACTGGTTCTCCAGAGTTTGGGGTTTGATATAAAACACTTGGAAGTTGATAAGGAAGTCTTCTGTTGTAGTTCTGGGCTTTAAATTAAACCAAGTCAACAGGGAGAAAGCACAGGTTGTCTGTGAGGCAACCTGGTCACAACTTAGGTGATGTTATAGCAGGTTTTCATGCCCTGACATCTCATGATGGGCCAATGACAAGCAGCAGTGACCAACTTGTGATTGGTCCACATGCACAGGTTTTATGTTCTGCCTCACTGAAACCATTTCCCACACTGAAGATATCCTCTTGTCCTGCACCAGATTGAGCCGGTTTATGATCCTCCAGGACTTTTTGCATTGACATCCAGGAAGAACTGAAATGCCTGTGTGCCCGTTCTCAACTGCAGTGTCAGTCTTTGGGTGAGATATTGCTCCAGAGGGACTTTTTGGTGTGTTGCACACTGGTCTCATCTGGGCTTCAGACACAAGGGCAAACCAAATGACAAGTCCTGCACAGCAGGGGTACACAGACATACAGAGAGGAATCACAAATACAAGGTGCAAGGACATTCCAAGGCTACCTAGTCCATCCCGCTGCCCAGGACAGCTCTAGGCCAGCACAAGTGTTGCTTCTGGGGATGTAACAGGGAAATCCAGGCTACTGGGAAGGTAGTCTCACCCTGAACCTGGCAGGGATAGGTGTTTGGTGAAAAGCAGGGAGAGCTTCACTACTGAAGATTCCTATTGATGTGCAAATGAGCTAAGTGCTGTTCACAAATCTACCAAAGTCTTCCCATAAATCCGTAGAGAAAAATCACAGATGTCACTGATGTTTCCACTCACTCTTTTGCTTTCATATTCTGCCAGCAGCAGAGCTCTTCTCTGCCTCTCTCCCACCTTACTATGTGCTTTTCTATTTGAGACTAACCTCTTCAAAGGACAGTGGCCTTGTTATATTTTGCTATACATTGAGTAGTCCAGCAGGACCTCTTCTTAGATAAGTCCACAGTGTCGTGATAATGGAAATCAGTGCAACCACACTGTACAAGAGCCTTGGACCCCCATTGTCCATTAAGCTGATATCTCAAGGAGACAAGGGAAAATTATATCTTCACCTTGAAATTCTTTTGCAGCTCAGAAATGGTCATAGGCACGTTGAAATGAAATCAAACTTCTGACTGCAGCCTGTTCAGGACTAAAATTCACTCCTCGGTTGTCTTAAAACTCAAACTGAATAAAACCCTGTCCCCAGGCAGGCTGGGGTACTCAGGTTGGGGTGATCCTGCTGTTTAACTACATGTGGGACTGCAGATACAGATATGAAGATGAGAGGTTGTGACTGTCTCTGGTGATTTTAATTTCATGCCCTTTCATTTAAGATGATTACTGAAGTGCCCGGGGGATTTTCCCTGAACAACATGACTACACTAGTCTCACTGAATTACATAGAACTCACCTGTTTTCCACGTCTCAAGGAGGGAGGGTGTGAAGCTGCAGCCTTTTCATGTGCTTTTTTAGAGAGGAAACCAAGCACAGCAAGGAGAAGACACAATCTGCAGCAATAAGAGACCTGGAAAATAAGATCTATGAGAGAAGGTGAAAACTATTAAGGTGCTCAGTGGACACCCAGTCATATCATATATGTCTACAAAAACAAGGGCTGGATAGGAAAAACTATCACAGAGGGCTTACATTAGGCCCTAGGGAATTTTCAAACAGTGACAATACTGAAATGTGGGAAGGTGTGGATCCTCCATCCTGGGTGGCTTGGAAAAACAGGCTAGACAATAACTGTTAGGGAATTATTTATGTTGATAGGATCCTGCTCCAGGGCTGAGAGATGGATTAGTTGTTCTCTCTCAGGATTCTTTCTAAATTTGTTCTTATATTTTAATTTCATGGTGTGCATGTTCATGTTTCTGCAGCATGTCCATGTTTCTGCAGCATGTCCATGCTTCCAGAAGCAGAGGAGAATGATAATACAAGTCACACCCTACAGGGAGGTGAGGCAGAGGCTGGGGAGGTCAGAGAAATATGTCAGACAAGAAAAGTTAGAAATCCAATCCTGAAAATAGCATTGGTAGGAAGTGAAGAAGGGGGAAAGTTCAAAAGGACGATTATTCTATGTTCAGCAGAAGAAAAATGCCCATCTAGGCCAGAGCATGTAAAAAAATATGTACGAATTTGCCCTGCAGGCTTGTAGCAGAAAATCCCAGTGGGTTTCATAAAATCAGAGAATTATTTGGATTGTAAAAGACCCTTAAGATTATTGAATCCAGCCATTAAGCCAGCACTGCCGAGCCCACCACTAAACCACGTCCCTAAGTGGAACAGCTACATGTCTTTTAGATACTTCCAAGGATTGCGACACCACAACTTCTTCCAGGGATGCTGACACCACAAATTCCCTGGGCAGCCTCTTCTAGCACTTGACAACCCTTTCCATGAAGAAATTTTCTTAATATCCAGTACAATTCTCCCATGGCACAACTTAAAGCTGTTTCCTCTCATCCTAAGAGCCCAAACATAAAGATATGTTGTCAAAGCACAAAATTAATATATCAGATTTACAACACAGCTGAAAAACCCAGGTCAGAAAGCTCTGAAAGAGAAAGTGGCGAAGTTGTGACAAAGACAGTAAAAGGTAGAAAGGACTGGGTGTGCACAGCTTGTGTAGGAGATATTGGGAAGAAGCTTGTGCAGGCCCTGCTGGGGTTGAAATGGAAGGTTCCTAGTGGAGAATGACAATGGTGGCTTTAAGGAAGAAGACGTGAGGTTAGAGCTAAGGATAAACCGCTTGATGGTGAGGTCAGCTGAGGCCAAGAGGAGCACCCTGTTCCTGTTATGAAACCCTTGAGAAGGAACCAGGAGAACGGGGCATGCTGGGGTTGAGGGTAAATCCAGCAGAGCGCTGGAACCAGGCAGGCACAGAGCAGGTGCCAGCCCTTTTCCCTCACAGTCAGTGTGGCTCCAAGGGATGGTGGCACTGTGACCAGGGTCCCCTCTCAGCAGCTGGAGAGCCAGCAAAACACTTTCTGCAATGGCCGACAAACTGGCAATCAGAATGAACCCCTGTGCACAGGGTCATTGCAAGGCTTGGATGCGCAGCTGGGTCTAAAGAGTCACCCAGGCTAGTGGCAGCCACAGCAGAGCTGTCCCTCTTGTCCCCACATTAGCAGGATGCAGCTTCAGAAAAAGACTGGAGGGACCATTTTGCCCATAGTGGCCATTTTTAACCACAATGTTCCTATTTTTTCTGTTTGGAGGACTGTCCTGACTTTTAAATGCTACCAGGGGCTTTGAGCTATGCTAACACAGGGCTGCCTGTGACAGTAGGGCATCATACATCCCCAACAGCTCCAACGCCCCAGTGAGACAACAAGTCTAACAGTGTCCCAAAAGCCCAGGAACAGCTTTTGTGGGAACAGTAGATCCTGCATCTCCCTACTTCCTTTTACACCTGATGCAAGAGGACAGAGCCGCAACATGTTGGGACATTTCAACGGTGAAGTCATCCACAGCCCATAAAAAAGGTGTAGAAGAAGAATCAAACCCACCCATTTTCTGAGCTGATTCCTTGTTCTCCATAACAGAGATTGGCAAAACCTGCCAATCAAGTTAACCAGGCAGGGAAATGTAAGACATTGTGCCTGGCAAGGTTATGGAGCAGATCATCCTAAGTGCAATCACACAGCACCTACAGGAGGGACAAGAGATCAGAGCCAGCCAGCACAGGTTTAGAAAGGGCAGGTCCTGTCTGACCAACCTGATCTCCTTTTATGATCAGGTGACCCACCTGGTGGATGAGGGGAAGGCTGTGGATGTGTCTACCTGGGCTTCAGCAAAGCCTTTGACACCGTCTCCCACAGCATATTCCTGAAAAAGCTGGCAGTCCACGGCTTGGACAGGGGCACTCTGTGCTGGGTTAGGAACTGGCTGGAGGGCTGGTCCCAGAGTGGTGGTGAATGGAGCTGTATCCAGTTGGTGGTCGGTCACTAGTGGTGTCCCCCAGGGATCAGTGTTGGGCCCAGTCCTGTTTAATATCTTTATCGATGATTTAGATGAGGGCATTGAGTCCACCATCAGCAAATTTGCAGATGACACCAAGTTGGGGGGGAGTGTCAATCAGCTGGAAGGCAGGAGGGCTCTGCAGAGGGACCTGGACAGACTGGAGAGTTGGGCTGATTCCGACAGGATGAGGTTCAACAAGACCAAGTGCCGGGTCCTGCACTTTGGCCACAACAACCCCCTGCAGCGCTACAGGCTGGGGACAGAGTGGCTGGAGAGCAGCCAGGCAGAAAGGGACCTGGGAGTTTGGATTGACAGGAAGCTGAACATGAGCCAGCAGTGTGCCCAGGTGGCCAAGAAGGCCAATGGCATCCTGGCCTGGATCAGGAACAGTGTGACCAGCAGGGCCAGGGAAGTGATTCTTCCCCTGTACTCAGCCCTGGTGAGGCCACACCTGGAGTGCTGTGTCCAGTTCTGGGCCCCTCAGTTCAGGAAGGATATTGAGGTGCTGGAGCAGGTCCAGAGAAGAGCAACGAGGCTAGTGAAGGGACTGGAGCACAGGTCCTATGAGGCTGAGGGAGCTGGAGTTGTTCAGCCTGGAGAAGAG